TAGGCTTTTGCATCATCACTAAATATTTAATTTAGCAACCCTGTCATTTCTAGACAGATTCTAGGTTTACTGGAATTCGATTTGGTTAACGTAAGAATCATGCTTTGATGTTTATAAATGATTTGTAGAGAATTTCATAAACTTTACAGAATATCCTCTTGCAAGTCATTTGAATTTATAGAACTCTGGTTATGATTAAATTAAGGAACTACCCGTGTGCATATGAAACTTTAACTGTTGTTTTAAGTATGCATTTACTATTTCTAAGTTTGTGGTAATGTTCCTAGGTGTTAGGCCTTTAACTGAAGATGAGCATCTTTATCTTAGGTTATGCAAGTTAGGTAAGTTGATCTTGTTCTTCAAGTTAAGTTAGATACACGTTTTAAAGTGATTTGAATAGAGCTATTCTTAATCGGTAAACGAGTGTCTAGTGATGTTTTCGTTAAACACTTAGTATGATTCATTCATCATGAGCATCATGTCATTCCTTATGCATCCATGATATTTATCTTGTGCATCGGCATGCAATAGGTGTACCGGAAGGTGTGACACTGCTGGAATTCGAGGAACCGAGCGAGCAGCAGCAGCAGCCAACACCGGAGGTTCTGGAGGTGTAGCCCTCAGCAGAAGTGCCAGACGAGGTCGCCGTTGAGTGCCCAGATCACCGTCCGCGCAACTTTGTGAAAGGCAAGCCCCGGGGCATATTAAGCCTCCTAATTTCCGAAATGCAGTTAAAGTATTATTGTTACATATATATATTGTTGCATTAAGTTTAGGTGTTGGATGCAAACACTTGTTGCATTGTTTATCCAATCCTTGTCCAGATATTGATACCCTGAATCCTATTTAGTTCAGGTTTGTGTAGTGCTTAGCCCTACTTAAACACGATAGAAGTCAGGTGATTTCCTGTCACCTACGAGATATAGAAAGATACATATGGCACGATTGGCTATATTTGCTATCGTGGAAAAGAACCAGTCTTAATTTGAAATGAAGACCGGACGGAGGCTTGCCGGTTTGTAGTGACTCCGTCTATGTCTCTTAAGGACTGAATCTTGGAGCCTTTCCTATTCATGTTGAACGCATGCCTCTCTCTTAGTTGGCCGGGTCTGAAGACCGACCACGAAGCCGAGTAGCTCACCTCTGGCCGGGAGTCGATAAGTATAAAGTGCGCCTCGGAAGGGAGCTGTAGGCGTGAATCCAAGGGCAGGTGATTTAAAAGTCCTGATCGTCCTAGCAGAAGGGTAATCCCTGAGAGTGCTGGCGCTGATCGAACCCATGAATTTGATTCCTGAGTTGTCCCAAAGGTGACCCACGGCTACCCTTGCAAAGTATGCCAGGGTGAGAGTTAGGAATACCCCCTCAGCTGAGTTGTAATTCGATTCGAGTCACCGTCTCTCCCGGTTAATGAGAACTTGACGGGCTTATCTCTAAAGTAGATACACTAAATAACATAATGATTCGGAAATGATGATATGATGATGACAGCCTTATTATACCTGCTATGGTTAATATTGATTGCTCCTAATAAGTGAGTGCTCTAGTACAGGTGCTAATCTAGTGGACAGGTAAATGATGATAAGCTTGATGCTAAGTTTAAATTGGTCACTATATTCATAAGCTCTTTTATGCAAATGTGTCAAGCTAGCCCACCTCATAAGCCTTGCATGATCCTTGGTGTCTGTTATTTCTGGTTTTGTCGGGTAAGTCTAGCTGAGTACTTTCTCGTACACAGGGTTTATCTTCCACCTGTTGCAGGTGACTAGTTCTACTTTGGTTGCTGCAAGTATTGCCTTCTCCCGGCTGGGGATGAAGACTAGACCGTTGGGCGCGGTCTCTCCTAATTCTCGTACCCGATAATGCTTTTGTGGGACATGACTAAGACCTGGCAATGTATTTGAAACTATGAAGTTATGTACTAAACTATGTTGCTTCCGTAGATTTGAACTTGGTTTGTAATATTTTATTTAAACTCTGATGGATATAATCCGAATGCTACTTGTGAAATGTTGTAACGAATGGTGTGTTGTGTTGAATCACTACGGTCTTGGTTTGTATGTCGAGAGTTGGTTGAAATCCTTCGTGATTTCCGGACTACCGGGATTATGGGAGCTTAAGTACAGGAATTTGATCACTTCGGTGATTGTTTTTTACTTACGTTCTTATGATTTGGTCGGTTCTGTTACAAAATTTCTGCCACAATTTTTTTCGTCCAACTCTGATCTCTATTCGGATTCTGATTTTTTTTGTCTGGTAATCATCTTTTCAAAGTCTCGTTCATTTTGGATCTTATCTCTATCTATCTATACCTAAAACATATCTCCGAACCGTGCCCCAGACGGTAAAAAAATCAAATCAGGAAAAGGATGGTGCTGAGCCTGGCTACTACTTTGCACGACCAACAGGCAATTGGGCATGTAGCAGCTATAAAAAAGAAAAGGCCGAAAATCAAGGAGCGGGCCAGAAATTGAAAACCGTGCGTAAAGAAGAAAAAATCTTTTTACAGAAAACTAAAACTCTAATTAAAATCGTTCCTTTAAATAACTAATATATGAAAATTCAAAAAAGCAAAAAAATCTACACATAAAAAATCACACAAACTAAACTGAAGGCCCGCTGATACTAACAACTAATTGTTAGCTAGCTAAAAATTAGCAAAATACCATGACCAGTATGTCAAGGCAGCCGAAGCCAAGACGATGCACGCAAGGCCAGCCATGCTTGTTCGCCCCCTAGCACTCACGCTGGGCGGCGACATCAACGCTAGCCAGATCAAGTAATGCCGGCATCGGTGCCGGCGCAAATAACCATTGTGTACGGAGGGCATGCAACAACGTCCTGAGTCAGACAAGGCGACTATCGAGTTATTTTTTTTTTCTGTTGCAACACACGTGCATGATTCCATCTTTAATAATTTTATGTTCCTTGGTTTGTGTCCCAACCTCCAACGTGATAGACTCTCATACTAATCCAATAGGAGAAATACAATACAACGATTTAATAAATAAATTGAATATAAATTGGGTTAAATTGAACACCAATTATTAAACCATATAAGTAAGGCACCATATCAGTGCAGGCGAAGCAGCACGAAAAGATGTTGAGGCTAGAACGACGATGGCGCGAGGTGCGGAGACGACGGCGAGGTCGGGCAAGGAGGGGCAACCTAATGAGACGACAACGTGAGCGAGACCGAGACGAGGAGGCAAGGTCATGGAGAAAGGAGACAACGACGCGGGCGAGGCTGCCAAGTCGTTGGGGTGTGTGGCTGCCGGGGCTCCATCGCATGGACTTGCCAGGCTGCGGGGACGCTGTCTCGTGGAGCTGCCGGGGTGTGGTCGCTCGGGGCTCCGTGTGGTCGATGGGGTGCTGTGACCGTCAGCCCGCCAGTGCTCCATGGCCACCTTGTCAAGGCTTCAGGAGGACGAAGTGCCTTGGAGGACTCGGTGTGAGTGGATGAGGCCTCTCGTGCCTCCGAGTACTGAGCTAGGAGATAAGGATGAGAAAGAAGAGAAAAAAAATAAAAAGAAAGAAGAGAAAAAAAGAAAGAAAATAAAAGATAGAGTAGTATGAATATTTTACGGTTTTCAACTACCATAAGGAGCTGTTTAACCAAATATTTCACAAAAATAGCTTCATCTCCATCACTGAAGCTACTCGTGGTCGTGGAGCTGAAGTAAAAAAAATGCTTCACTGGTGATATTCCTCATTGATTAATTGTGTGCTATTGGTCTCGACTTTAACAAAAATTGCATGATGAAGTGTTTATACACTATGTAAATTCACCGGTACGTAGTATGTTCCATTACATTTGTTGATTCTTTGATGCTATAATTGGAAGTGGAAGTGAAAATGCGCGCGCCTTGGCCCTTCGTGTTTGTAAGAGAGTCCATGTGCGCTATGGCATAGATGCACTTGATTACTTAAGTAGAAGAAAATATATTGAGTCAAAAATATTTATATATATGTTTTTAAGAATAATGTCAAGTGCAATAAAAATATAATGATATAAATGAAAAACTGTTGCTTTCAAGACAACACAAGACAGACGTTAAAACTTTGGATGAAGTTATACCTTTCCTCATGTTGCAACGCATGAGCATTTTTTGCTAGTAATCTTCAAAGCTCTCGAGGGAAGTAGGAATTTATTGTTAGTTTAAACATCTTGGTTTTTCCCTATGAGCCATCATAAAAGTGCGAAATTCTATATGAGCCATTAAAAAAGTTTTTCAGCATTTAGTAACACTGGTCGAAGCTTTTTTCGCCCTACATGACACTGCCATCTATTTGGTCTCAGATGGTGTTAAACAGGGTGATAAAATAACCAAAGTACCTTCAACTGGCTTCAAAATCTTTTTAGTTTCCTCTCGTGCCACTCGGTCATAGTCTCGGTTTGAGTTATATAGTGGGACCCGCATGATGAATAAAAAATGTCTTTCTCTCTTTCCCGTAACTCTGCTCCCGCTCAACTCCATGTCTGCTCTTCTCTCAAACTAGCAGTAGCAAAGCAAAGCTCCAAAATCTCTTCGGTTCTTCTTCGATCGCAAGTGTTGCTGCCGGAGGCCTCATGAGCGTCGCCATAGGAATCTTTGGTTTTCACTTCTGAGCTTCATGAATGAAAGTGAATATCAGAAGGTTCCTCCTGTTTGCCAGTACCATCATCAGAACAAGGAGAGGTTTCAGTCGACGTTAAAGACCTATCCAAAGAACTGTAGAATACAATCTGCAGGCGTGAATACATCCTTGAAAGGCTGCTGGTTGTTGGCAAAGAACAATCAATTAACAAGACTATTTCTGAGCTGGAAATGCTTGTACAAGGTGTTACATTTATGCATATCACTTACAACTCTACAATTGATACAGATGCTGAGATTCTACTGATATTTACATTACAAAATGTATTCCGTTGCGGTCGCAAAAGATTGTTTACAAAGCCTGAAACTGGCTTACATTTTTTTCTCCTTTAGTTCTCTCATTGATTCCTATGATTTCCATGGTGTTCATTTCTTCAGATTCATTTCGAGCTTTTGTCTTTCACCCTCCACCTTGGCGAACTGCAAGCTGAGCTCTGAGTACCTGCCCTGCATCTCCTTTTGCTCATTTTTCACAGCCATCAGCCTCCTCTTCAACTCCATAGTATCTTGTATCAGTTCATTGATGTCCCTGAAGCTTTGGAAGACTAATGCTTCATCATTGTGCTGCTTCCAAGAATGAACTAACAAGGAGCAAAGGGAATCAAAAGATGGTGTTTAGTTAAATTTGACTGACTTGTTTTTACTAACAAGGAGCAATGTAAAATTGTAGTTTCAATCTAGGTAAGAAAAGGCATCTGCTTCATTAGATCAGGGATGAAAAGAAATAACAACAGTTCTCTTCGAATGTACTAGTTACCTCTGGAAAAGGATGTCTGTTTTCTTCTTTGCTTGGAGAGCTTCTGCAAGCTCTAGTTCCAAAGCCAGTACTCTTTCCAAGGCATTGCCAGAACCAGGAAGCTAAGGAAAAATATTTTGCAAATGCTCATTTGCCTAAAGTAGTAACAAATGCAAAAATGCATCTGCTTTTTTGCGCAGTCTGGGCTTCATCTGCTTTTTAATCGGCTGATTCGTTTCACAAATGCAAAAATGAGAATGAGATATATCATAGTACAGGTTCACGTTTACTATACAGACAGGACACACCACGTCAAGTTGTGATAATGTCCTTTCCAAACCACCGAGTGATGGGCCAGTTAGATTAATGTCCAGGGGAAGAAGAGGAGACAAATTCTCATCTTTCAATCTTTTCAGCTGCATATAAAAACAATTTCCATTTAAATCAGCTGTATGAGCATGGGGAAGAAATGGTATATATGACAATATCTCAGCACCCTGTCGTAACACTACACTTGTACCAGCTCCTTCTGGAAAAGGCTGAATTCATTTGCTAATTTCTTGTTCTCTTGATAAATATCTTTGAGAATTGCTAAACAACACTCGGTTGTTTAGCCCCCTCTCAGCACTCGATTTTCTCTCCTTCTCATTCTTCTTCCTCTACGGCTTCTCCCCCTCTTCTTCCCCAACTCCGGCGGGCTTAGAAGGGACCAGCCGGGGGAGGCAGGCTGGCCAGGCGACAAGGACGATGGCCGAGCGATTAGGGGCCCTGGCGGCGGTGGAGGCGGCCTGGCCAAGTTGGGGCTGCGGCGCCATGGCTAGAGCACGCCGTGGAAGCCTAAGACCGGGGAGGGGAAGATGGAGGCCGCCACGGTCACGCTAGGGTTTCGCCGGAGCTCTGCAGACGCGCCCGTGGAGCTCTGGTGAAACCCTAATGCGGCCGCAACAGGGCAGTGGGCGGCGACGGGGGCGAGGAGGAAGATGAACAGTGCAAAAGGAAATTGAGTGCTCCCCCCCCAAAAAAAACACTGAACATCAATTCTTTTAATGCTATGGTTGCCATTCAAATTGTTCTCTGTTGACGAATGGATTTCCTGATCGCAATTTTTGTCACAACAACAAAATAAAGTCAGTTGACTAAGTTGCCAAGAACTCACCAGTGCAAATGTTATTCATCAGGTAAAAACAACAAGGACAACAAAGACCCAAAGTTTTAATGAATTGGTGTTGAAAATGTATACTGACCACATGATAATATCTTTCGAGACATTTTACAATGGTTGGGATCGCTTCCTATCACCTCCCATTTCCTATGCAAAATAGTCATTTTTGTTGATTTTATTTGTCGGCAACACGGCAGCCGTGCCCTATCCCTCGCTCGCCGCGGCAGCAGCCTCGCCCTTGTCCTCGCTCGTCGGTCGTCGGTGGGTTTCCTCGCTGAAATAGCCCGGCCTACAGAGACTGGCGCGACCTCTCCTCCCGATTCCGCCGCGAGCGAGACCGGGACCTCCGCCGCCACTATCGTGGATCTCCACCTCTATCGTCCCCTCCGCTGCGTCTCCTCGTCGCATCGAGTTCCACGGCGGCGCCGGCACCTCCGCGCACCGCATCTCCCTGCCCTTCTAGGTCTGTCTTCACCTCTCGTCACACCGTCTTTTTTTTAGAGGTTAGTACTGAAGGAATACTCAAATTTAAGCAACGGTATGCTTCTACAATATGAAATGGTAACAAATGTGCAATTTTCATGCACAGTAATGCAAATGAAGACAATTGTTTTTGTATTTTTATTAGCTGACATAACTTTAAATTAAATAATTGATTAATTTTCATCTTCAAGTATTTCATTGAGTGGTTCCATTCATGCAAATAGTTACTGAAACCCATTTGACAATGCATGATTTAACACAGAATGTTTGCAATAAATACTGACATGGCTAGCTAGTTGTGTATAATCTTTCACTGGGTCAGTTAATCTGCTGTTTCAGCAAAATTGTATGGATGCTATCCATTACTTTAATAATCCTTAGGAGATTGACATGTCAGTTTGCTTGGGATGAGTTGGTTTGTGCTGCAATGTGTGTAGTGTTTCTGTGTGAGAAATGAAAATGGGATTTACAGCTAGCTGTTGGTGATTGCCATGGTAGCTTGCTGTGCCTTGTTCATTGGGCCCTTGTGCATATCAAATGTCAGTTTTTTTGGTTCTATTTTGTTCCCCGGGTTTTAAGTTTTAACAGGAAAGTGAAAAAATATCTATTGATAATCAGGGGATTGTTTATATTCAGAGAGGAGAAATGTCTGAAAGATTAGTAAAGTTGATTAGGTTTGTATGTCTGTCGTGTAGTTACAGCATTTCTTGGGCAAATGTTTCAGTCAGCTGTTTGGCATGCTATTTAGCTATTGTACTATTAGCCTTCAATAGCTAAGCCTTTCTTTTGCTGAGTATAATACAGCATTCTCGAACTAGGACTTGCTCAGTATTATACTCTTGAGACAGCTATCACAAATGGTCAAATATAGGCGTATAGATTTTACAAGTTTTCAATAGAAATACGGAATAGGTTTGTCCTAGAAAAGGAACTAGAATATGCTTAGTCAGTTCTGATTTGGTTAATTGTCAGTGCACCATTCATAAATTCAGAATTCCTTTATACTTGAACCGCTTGGTTAGTTAGCTATGTGTGAAGCTGGGAAGTTGCACACAATCTGAGTAGGTATAGCAAATATCTAGCCATGTTATTGCAGCCGAGATCCTCATAGTTGAAATGGCTTAGTTGCTGTACCTGTATGCACATAGTCAAGAATGGACTTATTTCCTTCTTCTCAGGTTATCTCTCATTATCCCATATATCTTCTCGACATATGCTGTCAACTGTTGCTTGAACCGAAGTGCTGGATATTTTGCCTCTACCATTGATGCAGTGTCAGGCCTTCCCACCATTCCACTGTATCCACTAGCTATGCCTAATCCTGAAGTGAAATCTTGAACAATTGAACAACCTGCTATGTGCTAACCTTTCTTTTTTTTCTAGATGAAGCATGTGCTATCTGTAATGTAATGCAAACATGTGCTATGTTCTCAACCTGCTATGTGCAAACCTTTCTTTTTTTTTCCTGAAGTGAAATCTTTACTGTTAGATCCAGTATAACAGAGAAAAATTGAACAACCAGCTATGTGCTAACCTTTCTTTTCTTTTTTTCTAGATGAAGCATGTGTACTCAAGCATCTGTAATGTAATGTGCAAACATGTTAAGATGGTTCCTCCTTGTTTACATTTTTTGACATTGCAGTACAGATGCTTGCTGCTGGTAGTTATAATTTTTTTTTTTAAAAAAAACAACAACAAGTGAGCGCTACTGAGAAAACCTTTTCTGCCGTGTCTTGGAAATCTCGATGACACTAGTTTGAGGTCAGTTCCCCCCATTGTTGCCTGAATGTTTGTGGAGATGTTTCGTTGTGAATTTGCGGCTATCAATGGTTCCTGGCTGTTGTTGGTTCGTTGCATTTCAGTAGTCTGTTAGCTGATAAGATTGCCAAGTGAATCATGTGTGGCTGTGTGAATTTTTTTTTCGTGTAAACAGGGTGGTCTAAAATAATTCTGTGTAAAACGATCTTTTGCACTTCTTGTTAGGATCGATGTGAGTACCTTTCTGTGTGTAACCCATAGATCCGTAGTTAGGCTCCTCAACCCTTGCGGAGCTTCACCGCAGCGGCAGCGTGGACGCCGATGCCGCCCTAGATGCAGCCTCGCGGACGCCAGTGCTCGGCGTGCTGATGAGGAGGCGAGGTGACGATACAGTGGGGCGACGGCGGTGACCTGCAGTGGGAGACGGCAATGGTGGGGCACATCCCGTCGCTGGCAGCACGCTTTAGGATCGGTATTAGGGTTTTCTTTAGGTGGGATTGCGGCTCCAGTGAACCTCGTCCCTTGAGCTCGATCCCCACCTTCTCTATTTATATGTGCTGTGCGACAGGGGCCCACCAACCAATTAGGGTTGGGCTCCCCCGATCAGGGAGCAGAGCCAAGGGCCCAATAGGCCGTTGGGCCTATTGGTGGAGATCAACTAACATTCTCCCCCTTGATCTCATTCCATCTTTCACTTTCATATCTTTTACTTTTGTTCATTCCATTACAGATTAGCTCATAGAGCATGTCTCATCGTCACGGTCCATTGCCGATAGACTTAACAGCTACAACTCACTACTCTGTTCTGAAATAGATACTTATCTTTGGGCCTTCTTTTGTCCAGGAATATTTTAGGCTTTCCCTTAAACCCAAGCTAGCTACATGTTCTCTGAACACCATGTCCTCTGAACATGTTGGGTGGTAAGCCTTTTGTAAGCGGATCCGCGAGCATCCTTTCTGTTCTTATATGCTCAAGATTTATGACTTGATCCCGGACTTTATCTTTCACAACATAATACTCTATGTCAATGTGTTTGGCAGCACCACTTGACTTATGTTGTGAGCATCCTGTACTGCCAGATTATAATCGCAGTATTACTTTAGTGGTCTATAGATGTCGTCAACCACCTTCAAACCGGGTATGAACTTCGTTAGTTAGTTCACCCGCCTGCTGTTCATATCACGCTACAAACCGTCATACATTGTGGACTATGTAGTGACGGTTTGCTTTGAGCTTTTCCATGAAATAGCTCCTTTTGCGAGACGATAGAAAATCCACGTCCCGATATGCATTCACTCTCGCATAATCAGAATCTGAATATCCCACCATGTGGAGTGAATCAGATCTTCTATATGTCATCATGAGGCCTTTCGTTCCTTGCAAATAATGCAAGACTTTCTTTACTAATTTCAGTGTTCTATTCCAGAATTGCTCTGGAATCTGCCAAGTAAAAACCCGGTAACAAATGCCAAGTCAGGGCGCATACATACTTGAGCATGTTGCAAGCTTCCGACAACTGAAGCATATGGAACCACTTTTACTTTATCGATTGAGCTCATATTGGTTCCTGGGGCATTGAAAATCCCCATATCTGTTGCCCTTGACTATAGGAGCAGGTGAGGAACTATATTTGTGCATACTGAATTTCTTTAAGATCTTTTCCATGTATGCCTTTTGTGACAGTCATTATACCCTTTTCTTCTATCTCGGTGAATCTCGATCCCTAGAACGAACGAGGCTTCGTCAAGATCTTTCATATCAAGTTTTGAGGACAAAACTTCTTTGTCTCCTATAGTAGACTGACATCACTACTAGCAAGTAAGATATCATTTACATACAGGATAAGGAAGATAAACTTCCCAATCTTAAACTTTGCATAGACACAATTGTCCTCTACATTCTCTTTAAAAACCCAAAATTCTTTATTGTCTGATCAAACTTCAAATACTATTGTCTTGAAGCTTGTTCTAATCCATAAATGGATTTCTTTAGGCGACATCCCATTCGTTCTTTTCTTTCCATGACAAAACCTTCCGGTTGTGCCATGTAAACATTTTCCTCCAAGTCTCCGTTGAGGAATGCCGTGTTTACATCCATCTGATGTAATTCTCAATCGTAATGTGCCACTAATGCTATTATTATTCTGAAAGAATCCTTACATGAGACTGAAGAAAAGGTCTCATTGTAATCAATCCCTTCTCTTTGCACAAAGCCTTTTGCCACAAGTCGGGCTTTATATCTCTCTATATTCCCTTGAGAGTCAAGTTTTGTCTTGTAGACCCATTTACAGCCTACTGTTTTGACTCTTTTAGGAATTATTTTCAAGTCCCAAACTTTATTAGCATTCAATGATTTCATTTCATCTTCCATGGCCTCAAGCCACTTTGATGATTGATCACTACTCATGGCTTCTTCAAACGAGGCGGATCATCCTCCATTTGAAATTCTTTAGTGTTGTACACTTCATAATCAGCAGAATAGCTGATTTTCTAACTCTTTTGAGACCTACTAGGGGCCTTCACATTCGGCACATCTTCTATTTTGAGGCTGTTGTTGCTCCCCCTCATGTGTGGCAATAGGTTCTATAGAATCCTGAAGAACAGGTTCCTCATCGTCATTCATTGTTGCCACAAGTGGGATAACAACATGTGCTAGCACCACAGTATCTAGCATTGTCGGTGCAGCTACAGCAGGTAGTGAGAAAAATGGCTCATGAATCATTAGAGTAGGTGCATACACCCGCTTCACTTCAAGGACAATTTCTCGAGCTACCATGCTCCCCTCATCTTTTCATCTTCTAGGTAAACAAATGTGTCTCGTTTCCATAAACTTTGTATGTCTCTCTCGGACAATAAAGGGAAAACGAAAACTTTTTGACTTTTCTCGTGTAGCCAATAAAATGGCAACTTCATGTTTTGGGATATAACTTTCCAATGTTTGGGTTAAATACTTTAGCCTCAAAGTAGGCTCCCCCACACACACGCAAGTGGTTTAGTGAGAGTACTCTTTACATCCACAACTCATACGGTGTTTTGGGCAATCGACTTTCTTGATACTCTATTGAGAATATAAATGACGGTTTTAACGCCTTCATTCACAGGTTCAACTGTAAGGTGGAGTAACTTATCATACTGCCCACCATATCCATCAGGGTACGATTGATTCTTTTACCTACTTTATTCTGCCGAGGTTCGCTTCGGTGTAGGATATCGAGCTACTATGCCATTCTTTTTTAGGTATGCCAATCGTAGTACTACTCCCACAGTCGACCTCGACTATCTTAATCTTTAATATCTTAAATTTATCCAATACATCTTTTCTTTCTTTGATTGGATAAATATAGTCATAATAGGAGTAATCATCTGTGAATGGATCATAACCATCCACACTCTTTACAGGAAAAGTCGACCACGGATGTCGGCAGTGAATAATCTGTAAAATTCACGTGCTTCGTTTGTCATCTTTCTTTACATACTTTCCTTTTATGCATTCTCTCTGCATTGAACTTAATCTGAGAGCTCTAATGGAGGAAGAATATCATTCTTAACTTGTCTTTCTATTCTCCCCTCGAAATATGGCCTAAACGACAAAGGCCATAATTTCGACAACGCATCGTGAGCTCTCTTATGCCACCATTTCCGAGTAACACTCTGTGACCAGTTTATCACCTAAGTGGCATATGTCTTTGAATAGCCAAAGTGAACCGACTCTTTATTCTATCGAGGTATTTGGTGACCGTGTCACACTCGAGATTGAGCCCACAATTGCAAGCTCAATCATGTTCTTTATCACAGCCAAACATTTCTGGTTGGCAGTGACACACTTCCTATGCTCAAAGTCATAGAACTATCTTTTGGGATTCAAAATCCCTCTCTTTAGTTGCCCAAGTGGCATCATTCTCTTTTGTCTCCCTCACCGGTGCCCCAAACTCAGTGGAACACGGTGAGGTGATTACCCAGTCAACCTTAGACAAGATGAAAACCAGGTCAAGACTTTTCTTAACATAAAAATAACACATCATTTGCATGCCTTGATTCCAACGTTGGTCAAAAACAAAACATACAATTATTCTTATACACTAATTCTACATCACCGTTGGGCAGAAATAGAATTAATGCATAAATCTTTAACTTTGACAACTGTTCTTACACACTAATTCTACATCACCGTTGGGCAGAAGTAGAATCAATGCATAAATCATTAAAATTATCAACTTTTCTTATACACTAATTCTACATCACCGCTAAGTAAGTAAAATTAATGCATAAATCATTAGCATTACGATATTGTTATTAACAACGTTGGTCGAAAATAACAACATCATAATCATATCAAAACTCTTTTCTCCAATTAAATACTGCATTGGTTCAAAATAATCGGAGAATCAACAATTTCTTTAGCAGCGGAAAAACTTTTCTTTTTCTCCAAGTAAATACCATGTTGGTTCAATATAACTGGAGAATATACTTTTCTTTCGCAGCGGAAAACATATGCTCAATTTCTTGAATTTTACCCACAGGTAAAATCACTCTTCATATTTTCTTTGATCTATTTTTCATTTTCCAGAAATTAGCAATTACTGGAAAAGAAAAAACTGATCTTGATTCTTTCTCTTTTTCGGCCCAACCGGTAAAACCACTCGCCCAATATTCTCCGTTTACATTGCCGCACCAGGCGCAACTGGGCTCGGGCCAAAAAGCGACTTCGACCACGCGTGGTTCGCTTGGGCCGCATCACCGTCCCGTTCCATCTCGGCCGTCCGATGGAGATCGACGGCTTGCGCGATCGATTGAACAAAACAAAACCGCTGCCCGTCCTACATTGAAAACCCTAGACCATTCAAGTCTCTTCTTCTCTCTCTTCTTTCTCTCTCTCGCCGCTCTCCTCTCTCTACCTTGCTCTCTCTTCTCACCGAAAGCGAACCGAGCCGACGAGAGCGAGTGGTGGTGGAGGCGGGCATCCATGGCACCGCCGCTGGCCCCCTCGCCCGGCGTCGCGCCTCCCAATGGTGGTGAGCGCCATTGCCGAGCGGCCCGACTGCTGATTTCCTTTGCCGAGCCCGGCGAGCAGCAGCACCGGTTCGGCGATCTTTCTTCTCCCGCGTCGGCGAAAGGTTTTCGCGACGCCCGGCGAGGTTCTTTCTTTTCCCGTTCTTCCCCGTCTCCTTCTCTCTTCATACCGACGCACAGGAATTGGGGTTAGGGTTTGGGAATGGGGTTTTCACTGTTTTCTTTTCGCTTGTTCATCCGAATGGGATTAGGGTTAGGGTTTCAGTGTCCCGACCCCTGTTCTTTTCCCCTTCCCCTTTCGGATTTGGATGCTTTTCTTTGTTTGACCGATTGGGGTTAGCCCTTTCTCCATGCGAGTTAGGGTTAGGTCTTAGGGTTCTTGAGATCCCTTTTCCCCTTTCTTTTCTCTAACATCCGAATGGTTCTAGGGTTCGATTCTGTTTTCTTTTATTTCTTTTCTTTCTTTTGATTCGACCGATTCGGTTTTCCTCTTTGGAGTTCATCCGAATCGGGATCTAGGGTTAGGGTTAGTTTTCCGACCCTTCTTTTTCTCTTTGTTCTTTTCTGTTTTCCTTTCTTTTCTTTGATTTCTTTTCTCTTTTGGATTTAGGGTTCGGCTTTGTTCATCTCAAGGCCGAAACCTTTTCTTTCTTTTCATCCATTCTTTAACCCAGTTAGGGTTAGAGTTCAAGTGCCGATGGCCCTTCCTTTTCTATGATCCGAATGGATCTTGTTTACTTTTCTTATTCTTCTCTGATCCGAACACGGATCTGTTCTTTCCTTTACTTTTGCCGTGCGCCGTCGAACGGTGTGGCTCCTTTCCCCCACGCGCGGTGGCGGTGATGACCGGTGAGGCCGTGAGCCGTCTCTCTTTCTTTTGCTTTTACCCGGTTAGGGTTAGGGTTACTGAGAGTCAACTTTGTCTCTGGTACCATTGTTAGGATCGATGTGAGTACCTTTACGTGTGTAACCCATAGATCCGTAGTTAGGCTCCTCAACCCTTGCGAGCTTCACCGCAGCAGCGGCGTGGGCGCCGATGCCGCCTAGATGCAACCTCGCGGACGCCAAAGGTTTCAAGCGGCGTCGAGGATGAGGAGGCGAGTGACGATCACATGGGGCGACGGCGGTGACCTGCGAGGGAGACGGCAATGGTGGGGCACATCCCGTCGCTGGCAGCACGCTTTAGGATCGGTATTAGGGTTTTCTTTAGGTGGGATTGCGGCTCCAGTGAACCTCGTCCCTTGAGCTCGATCCCCACCTTCTCTATTTATATGTGCTGTGCGACAGGGGCCCACCAACCAGTTAGGGTTGGGCTCCCCCGATCAGGGAGCAGAGTCAAGGGCCCAATAGGCCGTTGGGCCTATTGGTGGAGATCAACTAACACTTCTAGCATCAGTTTGTAGCGAATTGAAGTCCACATACTGCGTACGTAGTAATCCCCATGTGCTCTTACAGTCTTACAGTCTTTCTTGGGAATTGGGATTCGTGAAGAGTAGATAGAATTGGATTAAGATTTCAATTAATTTAATACCACGATTAAGAACGGAATTAGCTGAGCTTAGTAGGATTCACGAAGAAAGGCGAATGAATCACAATGATCAGTTATATAACTTATAAGGCCTGCCAGAAAAGAAGTATATGCTTTTTTTAGGTACTCCTAGACTGAATTTTCATGAGAATGCTCTCACTATTGGAACTAACTCTGCATCTTGGTGTCTGCAGCTACATCTATTTGCTATTTGCTACATAAATATTTTAAAATTATGGTAAATTTATTTTAACATTCAAATAATTAATTATCGAATCTCTTTGATTATCTATTATTGAATATGACTAAAGTCCATTGCTCTTTCAGGTTTTGGGGGCTCTAGCTATTGCCAAGCTATTGTCATACTTGCTCCTTTTGTGATTGATTTGATCTTTGATTCTTAGTTGACAAACATGATGCATCTTTATTAAAAACGGAGAGTAATGCAACTAAATTAAATGATCCAAATGCCATATTTATTCTTCATTCATGCCTTACATCATTGGCTACTTGGAACTAATTTTGCTTTATTTTTTTTAGCAGGGTAATGGATTGGTTGCCTGGAGTAAGAATTGCATTTATTGGAAATGGACCATATAGGTATGACCAATGCAGCACCTTGCTTTTATCAAAGTTTTGTCTGTTAGCATAAAAATGCAGCGAGGGAAGTGGTGGAGACTTAGGAAAATGCAATTCTTGTAAAACAATTCACCTATGTGTTCAATTCCTTACAAACAATTCATTATGGCCTGTTCATTCCTGTAAAAGAATTCTATCAGGTTGACTATCTGGATTGTTATGGTGATCCTGAATTTATTGGCAAGGTTGGTGCATTTATGGCAAGAAAGATCCAGGTTGTGTGGCAAAAGTGAAGAACCTCTACAAAGAACTTAACCTAGAGGTCTGTCTCTACCCTTGATGAGGCTTTCTATTTATCTGTAGATTGTAATCACTTGCTCATGTAAGCCCACCATAAATGTAATGCAGTAAATACTGATTAAAGATCAATGTGACGCCCATGTTACTGAAGTGATATTGATGCTTTGAAGACTATACCCCGTGTGCAATGTGACACTTAAGTTTCACTGGACGAAGTAGCAATCAGCCACACTTATTCTTACTTCTTTGTCTGAAAATAGGATGACATACTGAAGCACTCTCTCAAACTTGACTAAAGTCTGAAATTTTGTTTATCATTTTGTTCCAGGCGGTATTTCAGGAGTATGAGAATGAGAGCTACAAGAAGCTGATTGCAGACATTGAAGCCCAGCCAAGCATCGCGGTTCAGAACGTGCTGAAGTCCTTGCACAAGATCTATAAGAGGCAGAAGTAGGGTGCTCTTGGATAAGGAGCTCAGGAGCTGTTACTCCATCGCATGCTTGACAGATATACCGGACTTCCTCACCTTGCTGCTCTAGTATGATGCGGAGCTTCTAGTCCAAGGGGAAAAAATCGATGTAGTATGATGCACCTTGCTGCTCTGAATATTAACAGACAACTCAGGCAAGATGCTGTTTCGGTTTGGTGGACGGCATGTTGCAGACAGTAAATTGGTTGTTCTGTTATTTGCATCTTATCGACTTCTTTGCTTCTTTTGGCCACCGCCCTCCTAGTCGCTTTCAAATAAATTTCTAACGTGCCACTTCTATGCTTCTCCCTTTTTCTTTGGCCACCGCCCTGCGAGTCGCTTTCAAGTGAATTTCTAGCGTGCCCAGGGTAAATCTTTGTTATTGTCTAGGAAATTAGTAGGCTAAGGTGAAATGGTGAAACTAAAGTGGACTTTACATGATCATGGAAACAAAGGATTTTATGGGCCAGACGATGCTTAGTATACGCGAGAAAGCAAGGAAAATGCCCGCATCTTCTATGACTTTGTGGTACACTATTTTGGAAACAAAAGTGCCATGACATGATAGAAGAATATTCCAAAACCTAAATTTCAGGAAATGATTCTCCAACATGTCCGTATTATATTAGTGGTTCAAGTAAGGGCAAAAAAGAACAAGTTACAAGCGCCTGTTTTTGGAAGCAGAAATCCAGCTAGAGTTTGGAGTAAATCACCAAGACAACTTTATGCGCGTTATGAACACACCAATTTAACAGGCAAATGTATTAGTAGTACATATAAATAAGAAAGGGAGCACAGCAAGTATCTGCCTGGAACTGTCATTACAGCAATTTAACAGGCAAGTGTATTAGTAGTACATATATAAATAAGAAAGGGAGCACTACAACAAGTATCTGCCTAGAACTATGTCATTGTTTCTGCAGATGGTAATTAAGTGATTTCATACATGACATCTGTCTTTTGGACAAAAGAACAGGATATAAACATTTGCTAAGTTAACATATATGAAATTCCATCCCTTCTTTTTCCAGGCACCTAATCCTAATTCGATTGGTTGGGAATCAGTTGACGCAGTTGCAAACATTGCTCGACGAGGGGCCCATTTCAATGCTGTAATAGGACCAATGTGACTGTTCCAACAAGCAATCTGCAAAAGAAATCCGACACTAAGACATTGGGATATTAGCAAAAGGATGTAAGATCAGAAAATGTGCACCACAAGGATTGGTATCTGAAGCACAGAAAAAAGGGAAGATAATATAACTCAACTTATCCCCTCCATATGCATCCAGAACATATATATTGTTGTTAGTTGTTGTCAAAAGCATAGACTTGCCATCGTTGCTAAATTTGATGTCAGAAACTTCAGCTGTATCTCCACCAACCAAGAAAGTGTCAAATGGACCCTGAAATTGGATTGATTCACAAGATAAATATTTCACACACACCTTCCACAAATACATGGCTGTTCTCTATTATGTTCACTACATACCTTGTCATACGATCGGGAATCAAATAACTTAATAGCACCCCCTTCCATTGCTACAGCAAAAACAAGTCCCTGCTGATCATATGCAACAGAGGTCTACCACGCAGCCTTAGTATGCCCTGAATGATACACGAGTAAGAATGAAAGAGCTTAGAGGATAAAGGGCATCTTTCATCTCATAAATGCAAACTAAGCATAGTTGGTTGCTACAGTGAGCTCATCAACTAAGCTAGATACGAGCCTGCTATGTTCGTTTCGGCTGAATTGGCTTATAAGCCATGGCTGAAAGTATTGCTGGCTGGTTTGGTGTGAGAGAAAAAACACTGTTTAAGTCATGGATTATAAACCAGATACGAGCGAATAAGTCGAAACAAACGGGACTCAACATTGGTAGCCAACCTGACAAGCATTTACGCGAAGATCCCATATTCTGACACTGTGATCAAGTCATCCTGACATAAAGCTATCATTGACAGGTGACATACATAATGAAACGACCCTGAGATGAAAGGAAGACCTATCAGCATCTGCGCCTCAAAATGTGTTGCCACAAACAAGAAATGCAGCAGCATCAGAAGAAAAATAAAACAAACCTGTCTTTGTGCCCTTTGAAATATCTTAAGCAACGGTTGTCATACAATACGGAATACGAAAAATCAATACGGAATGCCGACCCGTAGGACCAAGTTGTAACCCCCTATGTTTTTCCTCATGCTAAATTTCACTAAAAATTGAAATTTTTAAATTTTACAACAAATTAAAACTTTTTTTTTGCAAAATTATTTTAACCTTGCATTAAAATTCACCATATGCATTTTCGTGTGTTGATGTGCCTTTTCAAATCAAATCACTTCAAATCCCCATCCTTGATTTTCTGGAAATTATAAAAGTTGTCACAAAAATACAAAACCTATTTTGGGCTACTTTCTCCTCCCTCCTCTCCCTACGCTTGGGCCAGCAGCCCACTTGGCCTGATGGCTGTTCAGCATGGCAGGCTGCCAGCAGCGAACGCACGCTGCCTGTTGCAAGCGCCAGCGCCATCTCAATTTTAGTCCCACCTCGCTTAGACAGATGGGAGAGACGGAGACAATGGTCTATATAATAACATCCAGGCACACCCTCACAGCTAGCTTCTTTCGTTGCTTGCCTCCATTTGGTTGGGCCTACCGGGCCAAAAACAGTTTTGCAATGCGGTATATATTTTGAATCGAATGAATTTTGAATTGAATTGAATGTGCTGAATCTGAACAAAAAGTAAAAAACGGTTGGAAAACATCTAAACCGTTTATGAATTTGGTACTTCGTACGCTTTTGGGATTTGTATCCAGCACGCACGCAGACGGGTTCTGTCAGCAAAAGACCGTAGCAGTACACGTATCAAATCTTTTGAAATTCCTAGAAATACATTAAAATTAAAAAAATAAAAATGATATCAATACTTGTATATGAATCTACCTTAAACTGAGCCTTATTTACGGGAACTAAAGCGTATGTTATCCATGTGCAAGTTGAAAACCATGAGAAGATGAAATTCATCTACTTGGCCACTTATCAAGCCTTGAAACTATCATCCCCAAGTGGAATGAAAGCTACAAGACATCAGAAAAATGATCCTTTGCAAATGAAATGCCTCACTGCAACATGTCCTACATTGCACTACACATTTGTTCGGTAGCAACCAAATTCTTTTTTCTCCTAAAAGAAGACTAAGGAAGCATGAAAGTGAAGAATATCATCCTTGGCCCGGCAAGAGATGAAGGTGTTAGATTGATCTCCTGACTAATAAGCCCAACGGTCTATTGGGCCTTGGTCTCGCGCCCTGATCGGGGGCGCCCAACCCTACATGGTTGGTGGGCCCCCGTCGCACTGCGCTATATAAAGAGGTGGGGGCCGGCGGCTCAAGGTACGAGGTTCGCCGTGAGCCGCAAACCCCACCGACAAACCCTAAACCGATCTCGAGAGGGCGCGCAGCCAGCGACGGGAAGCTCCGCTGATCCTCGTCGTCGCCACTGCTACGCCCGACCGCACTGCATCGACGTCCGTGCAACCTCTACTTCACCCGTCGCTGCCCGTGTGCTGCCTCCATCACCGAACCCGCGATGGCTAGCACAACCGCGACATCATCTGGAGGCTCAGGTTCATCACCAGTCCTCTCTCCCCTATCTCCCTCTCGGTGTAGTGTTCTAGGTCTAAATGTGCATGTCTTTCATGGATCTATGAGTTCATCCGCCTAGATCTACTCTAGTCGATCCAAAGAATGTCAACAATGGTATCAAAGCCTACTAGCACGTAGATCTAGAACGGGTACCGATTAGAAAAGAAAAAAGACGAAGAGATCCAGTGCGGATCTAAGCTGAAAAGGGTCGACCGACGTTCGGTTGAACCCCAAACTCGATCCGTCGGATCTGAGAAAAGTTTTGGTTCGGATGAACCCTAAACCTAATGAGGTTAAAGAAAAACCCGAAGGTGATTCGGGGAAAAGAAAACAATTTCGTTCCCCAATCCTAATCCCTAACCCTAATCGGGAAATCGTGCAAAATCGGGATAAAAGAAACAGAAAAAGAATGAAAAGGATCCCGATCTCGGATCGGATGAGAAAGAACCCTAACCCTAGAAATGAAACCCTAACCCTAGATCGGGTTTTGGGGAAGGAATAAGATGGAGAGGGGAACCTACCCGGTCTTCCCGACACCACCGTGCGGGCGGTGATCACCGCCGCCATGGTTGGCGAGCGGACAGAGGCCCGGCTCGGCCGTGGCTCAGGACAGCGGTCCAAAGCCGCTCGACGGCGGCGCGCTCTGCCATGGGCGAGCGCGCGCACCGGCGAGGGGCTTGGCACCGGTGTCGTCCTCCTTTCTTCTCCGGTGACGAGGTGGCCGCGCGCTCCCTTCGTTTTCGCTACCGACGCCGTGGGAGAGGAGAGGAGAAAGAGGAAATGAACCTAGGGTTCAGGGAGAAGCGCCGGCCGGGGGGTTTTGTTCGGGCGAAACGCGCGGGCAGCCGTCGGATGGAGATGGACGGTCACGGGCGACTGGGCCAGCGCCGCAGCCCAGGCGGGATAGGGCACAAGGCCGAAATCCCGGCCCAGGCCCAGGTTGCGGCCTGGGCGCGGGGGAGAGAGCGCGCACGGCTGGGCGCGGGGCTGCGCTGAGCGCGCGGATGGGCCGCGGCTGCTGGGCCGGTTTCGCTGGCGCGCGCGCGCGCGTGAGCAGGCCGTGGGCCGCGCGTGTGCTGGCTGGGCCGAAATGGTCAAATGAACAGATATTGTCACAGTTTTTGTTTTCTTATTTTCCAGAAAACAGGTTGATCAATTTGAATTGTTTTTTTATGATAATTTTCTGTACAAAATTTATCCAATGATATTTTTTGTTCAGTAAATAGTAAATTTGCTTCTGGAAAATAGGAAAAGATTATTAAATGTTAAAGTTTCCGCTGCGTATTTAAAGATGTAATTTTCATTATTAAATTCGAACCAACGGGAGAATTTAATTTTGAA